GAATTTCCCTTAGTTGCGTGGTGGCCAGAAAAAGGGCCCTAAGGGCCTCGTCGAGCCTGCCTTCACTTAGGGCGGCCGACGGGCTGCAAAATGGGGCCTTATGTGGCTCTTAGAGGCAGTGGCCTCGCACAAATAAACACAATAAAATAATTCTGAATTACCTGGTGCAAGGAAAATGAGCAATAACGAGATGACAATATTCAGATTGCAGAATCACATTGAAAGCCAGATCGTATCACAGTGTTCACAAAGCAGCATTGCACCAATATGACACCAATGGAGAATCGTAGCACTGAAAACCAATGTCAATGAGAGCTTGCTCTCGCCACCACAACACATGTATCCAGTCCCTATCTCCCTACTTGGCGCTCGGCGCCCAGCCTACTCCCTACTTTTTTTTTTTTTTTTTTTTTTTGAAACAAAGCTCCATCTATTGGGGGGAGCAACACTTGCTGGAAACCGGGTCCAGCGTCCCATAGATACAACCATATCCTCACAAATTGGCACGAACTGGGAACCGGGCCCAGCGTCCCATAACGAGTACATTCAGAAAACTCGTCAGAAAATTTCATGAAAATGAGGTTAGGAACCTACTAGAAAAATCCAATTGGCCTAAAAATGGAAATTGAAAATTGAGATACCGGGGCCATCACCCGGCTTTGGCTCAGAGAATTAGAGCTACTTCAGCCATGTCTATGACAACTTCATGATTCAAAAACGACTCAGAAGAACCCCCATCAATCCACTTTACCTCCCTCCGGCAAGACTTACTGCAGCGGAGCCACCATCACTGCTGCTGCTATACCATACTCCCGTCCTACCAGCTAGCCCCCTCACTGGTAGGACGCGTGATAACCCACCATCTTCTCACACTCTCCTTATTCTCTTCTTGTGTCATTACCGTTTTTTTTTTTTTTTACAGGATTAGGCAAAATTCAGAAAACAACTCAGAAACCCCCCTTCAATCCTCTTTACCTCCCTCCGGCAAGACTTACTGCAGCGGAGCCACCATCACTGCTGCTGCTATACCATACTCCCGTCCTACCAGCTAGCCCCCTCACTGGTAGGACGCGTGATAACCCACCATCTTCTCACACTCTCCTTATTCTCTTCTTGTGTCATTACCGTTTTTTTTTTTTTTTACAGGATTAGGCAAAATTCAGAAAACAACTCAGAAACCCCCCTTCAATCCTCTTTACCTCCCTCCGGCAAGACTTCTGCAGCGGAGCCACCATCTCCACTGCCGCTGTACCCTATTTCCATCCTACGAGCTAACCCCCTCACTAATAGGACGCTTGATATCCAACCATCTACTTATCCCACTCACCCCTTTTCTGAGAAGTTCAAGAAAATTCCAAAAATTAAAAAAGGAAAATTAGAGAAACGAAAATCAGAGCTGAAACCACCATCAATCCAAACCAAACTCACACTACAGGCGAGAAACCGTCACTCAACAAGCTTCCAATCCTCATACCAGAAGTCGCCAGTTCTCACACCCCCCTTGCTAGGGTTACAAGGCAACACAAGCTGCCCCAGCACCGAACTGACTGTTTTCTGACGGACAGGAAGCGTGTTCCTCCCTCGACAACTTCCTTAGCTGCCAAACCCCCTACCGGGTTACAGGGTCACTGCCCCAGATTCAGCTACGTTGAAAGAGGTGGTTATGCCTTCCACCCTTGGCAAACTCCAATGGCTTCAAGCTCCTCCCCATGGTCACAGAGCCACTGCTCCAGCACCGGCCACTGTCGCCCCAGCCCGTCCTTCTAATAGACTTACCACCCTGAGCCACCCTTCCCCTCCTGCATACGCCCACCCAAAATTTATTCCAAGCCATGCTTCCGATTTCACCCTCCATTTGAAAAAGTACCGATCTAACTGATTCTGACAGACAGAGAGTGCCTTCCCCCTCGACACCTCTCTTAACTGTATGGCCCCTCAAAAGGTTACAGGGTCACCGCCCCAGCATCAGCTACGTCGGGCGAGATGGTTATGCCTTCCACCCTCGGCATAACTTCAATGGCCTCAAGCTCCCCCTGGTCACAGAGCGAATGCTCCAGCACCGGCCAATGTCCTCCCACCCCACCCTTCTGGTTAGACTTACCATTCTAAATTGTCG